TTTTCATTGCGCCGCTCTGATGTTCCTACTGTTCCTCACATTGCATGAGTAGTTATAAGTCTCATTTCAGTGAAACGAATTGAAGGTTGGAGTGGGGTGTATTGTTTTGCAGTTGTGGATGTAGAGGTGATTAAAAAACGTGAAGATTTTTATATAACTTTATTTCAACCACGAACCACGAAGTTAAATATTTTCCTTTTTTAGTTTTATTTTAAATTTATTAATATTAAATGAGCCGACATGTTTTTAAGATTTGACGAGTTTAAATCATTCAAAATACGACACTTACATACTTAAATAGAATATGTAAAAAAATTTGTAATTTTTCTGAATGAATTTTGTGCATAATACAAGAGTTTTCAATTTTTTAGCAAACTTTAGTATTACCCAAAATTTTCCTATATAATTTTGATGTACACATTCGGCATACATTTTTCTTGAGTATTGCCCGTTTAACAGAAAGAACTGCAATTACTTTATAAAGAGCTAGCACGCCTTAAATTCTACTCTATTTACGCCGACAGATGAAATATGTCGGAAAAAAGGATTATATCCTTAAAGAACTCTGTTTTGTAGCTCCTAATTCTGCATTAGTAAAACATAAGTAAGCTGCAAGCTATAAGTAGTGCGAGTTTATTAATCATGTGTGTAAAACAGACATTTTAAATTTAAATAAAAATATAATAATAATAATAATATGCTTTTATAGTCAAACAAAATACTGTTGGAAAAGTCGCAAAAATTTCCAACAAGAAAATACCCGGCTGCCGCGCGAAAGCGTTGCATAACTTAGGCTGCCGCGATTTTGTGCGCGCGCAACATTTGATCACGTATGAAACGAATATCATTCGAAATGTTTAAAGAAAATAACAACTTTGAACCCAAAATACGAGATGAACTTAAACTTGAAAATATTAATTTGCAAACACTGTACGTATTGACTTTTTATGTGATTATAAATCTGTCTACTGCATTAAATGCAGATTAAAATGAAACAAATAAAAATTAAGTGGTTGTGGTATTGCCCGTAAGAAAATATTTGTATTTCGAAAGAAATGATTATTTATCAATGCGAACGAAATTATCGAGCAACCACATAGCACACGGACGTCTTATGGACGTCTAAAAGACGTCCTACAGGGACGTCCTATTTTGGTACCGGGACGTCAATCGGACGACCAATGGACGTCCTAATGTCCCGTTTATGTCCATCTTAGGGACCGTCCCTGGGACATCCCAAAAGGACGTCATAGGGACCATTGAGGGGACATCCTAGGGGACGTAAATCAGACGACCGAGGGACGATATTTGACCATAATCCATAAAGGGTAATAATAACAAAAATGTTAACATCAAAAGGGCTTTATTTAACAACTTTTATCCTGAAATAACTAGCTAGAGGTAAAACGTTTTCAGTTTACAAAAAAAAAATAGGAATGAATTAAATTTAACACACAGGGCTGGTAAGATGAAACCTTGGGTCCTACTTATAGCTTGTGTCGATATAACTAAGTTTTATAATTTTGTCAAAATTTATTTTGTTCCAACTTTCCGCCATTAGGTCTTTTCTTTTCACCACCGGCTACCGCCAATACACATCACTTATTCTCACCTCAACAGAAAACACTCACTTATAACCTCTTAACCACCAACATAAAAAAAATAACAAATAACACTATATTACCTTCTTCTTTTTTTCGTTAATCTAACTCACTTATATAAGTTAATTATTTAATTTCGAAATTTGTAACTGTTGTTGTTCATTTGAAAATAAATGATAGGTTAGGTTTTTTGTCCTCATACTCTTGCAAAAACAAAATGTTGAATTTCAAGTTATCGATTTAAAGACCAACGATGTTAGTACATAGAAAGTCCCATAGATGTCCCATTAACGTCCTGGACTCGGACCGAAAACTAAATGCTTTGATGAAATGGGACCAAAATAGGACGTCCGTCAAAGGACGTTCCAGTGTTCACGGTAATCGGAAGTATACTGGACGTCCTATTTAGGTCCGGGACCAACCGGACCAACAAGGGACCAAATCAGGACGTCCATGGGACGTCCTGTGCTATCTGTGTGACAGCGGTGTCCATTCCGATATCAATTACTCAGAAAGCGATTATTCTGAGGAATTTAGTGTATATTCTTAAACTTATTTTTTCACATTTTGTTAACTTTAACGATGTATAATTTTATAAATTGCAAAAAACAGAACAAAATTAAGACATCTCTATTTATTTGCCTCTCTTGAACATTAATTACTTTCTCTGCTTTAGATATATAGGTACGTTTTAAGCATAACTAAAAATAAAAACAAAAAAAACAACAAATAAACTATATATTTATAAAAACAACAGAATAACAATTATTCAAAGAATACATGAAAGCGAGACGCTCTAGCTTCAATCGTAAACTCGCCTGTTCCCATCAGAGACAATAACAGATGCCAAATAAACGTCAGCTGTGCGCACACTCCCAAACTCCTTATCTAAAGCGCAGATTTCATACGTGATCGAATCTTGCGCGCGCACAATATCGCGGCAGCCTAAGTTACGCAAACGCTTTCGCGCGGCAGCCGGGTATTTTCGTGTTGGAAATTTTGCGACTTTTCCAACGGTATTTAGTTTGACTATAAAAGAGATGAGTGTATAAAAGCAACATCGATATAGTACTTTTCAGCCCCGTCAGCCACCCTTAACGCAAAGGATGATGGTCGGCAGCCGGGTATAGAAAATTATATTTAATTACTATCTATCGATTAAGTAGAAAATTTGGCAAAAAAGCGATGGGTGGAGAGTGGCACATATTTTCAATTGTTAATAATTTTTTATAACGTAAAACGCAAACGATATTGGGGCGGCTGCCGACGGATTACTATTGTGCAATATATTACCCGACGTTTTTATGAAAATTTAGCCATACTAGTGATCGACCCAACATTTTGCAGTGGGCTCCTAAACTAATAAGAGGCCGTTGAAAATAGAAGCCCTATTTTTTAAATGTACCAAAACCGTAAACACACCGTAAAACGCATACCGAATTCTACGCAGGGTGAAAAAAACATGTCAAATGATTTTATAAAAATTATTCTATAGTAAGATGGCGATTACTATTATGTACGTTTATTTTTTTACAAAATCGAAAATTTTCATTAAGAAATTTGCTAAATTCTTCACAAACGTCAACAAGAGGAAAGCGTATCATGTTTATAGTAGTTAACGTAATTTATAACGTTTTCAGATATTTACAATCAATGTGTAGAATGTAGAGTTTATAAAAAATAATAAAATCTGTTTTTCAGATAGATCGGTGTAATTGCATATTTGAATGTAATATTCAATTCTAAAATTTTCGATTTTGTCAAAAATAAACGTACTTTACTCTTGAGCAAAATTCATATTTTTTGACAAACCTCGTATACGGCTTGAAAAATTTTATGTGATGACTGTATTTTAGGTTTTAGGTCATGCAGGACTTTTTATCAAGAATAACTTTTTTTTCCTAAAATCAATAATAAAAATGTTTTCCATATGGTTCCAACTTAAGTATATAAGAAAATGTTTCGCATAAGATGTGTGTCAAAAATGTATTTTCTTTATCCTCTAAACATTTACAGGGATAATACAATGGGTTGTACAAAATAACCGTAACAAGGCCGCTATAACGAGAAGTGAAAGTCAGAGTTGGACAAATCAATTTTATTCATTAAAACGAGAGTAAACGGCACTCTGTGTTCCATCTCAAACCCTTCCTGCATCCATTTGTCGTTGAAATTATTGAAACGTGCCATAGTTTCTTGTTGTTTTGCGATTGGTTTCTCTTCTTCCTCGCATTTATACGCTATTCATATTTTTTCTCCTTTTCTCAGTGTATGAATGATGCATTTATTATTCTTATTGGTATTTTTTCTGCATTACTAGTCACGCTATTTGTTAATCTTGTCACCATTTGTCCTTGTTCCTGTGTTTCGCATGCAATTGTTCTTCCTGTTAGCTTCCTTTTCAATTTTCCAGTGGCCTGTACTTCTGTTCGTCCTGGTATAATTATTTCTTCTTCCATTATGATATCAGTGTTTTGCCTCTCATTCTGTCTTTGTTTTGTTTGTTTTTCTAGTTCTTTTTGGTTATCGTTTATTTCTATTTTTTCTTCCTCTGGCTCTATCGTGATTTTTTTCGTAAAATTTTGTTGTTTTCTAATGATTTCTTCAACTTTTCTCAACCATTGTTTCCATGCTTCTGGTTTTCTTGTGTTGTCCTGTGGTCCGTTTCTCTTGTTTTGCTGGCTGCTTGCTTTCTTCTTGGTTTTTTCTCTTTGCATCGCTCTTTTCTTCCCCTCATAACTTAAAGTACCGTTTATTTCCATTCTCTCCAGTCTGAATTTGATTCTGCGGATTCGGAGTCCTGTCTTATCTGACTTACATTGCTGGGACATCTTCGCACTTATTCATCTCCTACACGTGGTTTGTCTTGTCTTCTTAGTGCTGCCTCTACTTCACTTGCTTAAAGTAACTTCAGCTTTTGACCCCAAATATATAGTGCTGGCTTGTCCTCGTATGTTATCCCAGCCTCTTCTCTTCCCAAAAAGTATCTTCCCAGTAGTACTGCTATTTTCCCCATTGTTTGGTCTTCGCAAGTTATTATCTCGGTCCTATGTTCATTTACCACTGCATCTGTCGATAATTTGATTTGTACTGATCCGTGCAATTTTATTGTATGCCCTGTAATTCCTTGTAACGTCAAGTTGTCTGTCACATCTGTGTGCATGTTTCTGTGTGAAACAAGTGAAAAATTAATTAAGGAAAAGACACCTCCTGTATCGATCATACATGGCCTCTTTTTACCATTGACCCTTAGTATTAAAATATACGGAGATTCACCGAAAAATTCTCTTGTCGATTCATTGTGATAAAGTCTCACTGTATGCTGCATTTGTTTATCGTTTGTAAATCGTCCTTCTTCCTGAAAATTTGCCCTTGATCGGGGAGTTACAGTGGTTTTTATTAGTTTAAATGATCGGAACTATAGTTGATACTTTCCCGTCTTCCTTCTTGTCGATTGCCTTGTTCCGGAATTTTGTTATCTCTGGAATTTCTGGTATCTCTTGCATCTCTAAAATCTCTGGAATCTCTAAAATCTCTGGAATAACTGGCTTCTCTGGCATCTCTAGAATCTTTGGAATCTCTGGAATCTCTGGAATCTCTGGAATCTCTGGAATCTCTGGAATATCTGAATTTTCTGACATCTTCGGCTGCTCTGGCTTCTCTGGACCCTCTTGAGTCTTTGGCAACACTGGAATATCTTGCATCTTTAAAATCTCTGGAATCTCCAGAGTCTTTGCCTCTGTTTCATCTGTATTCATCCATATCGTATCCTAGATTTCTTCCTTGTGACGCTCTCAAAAAGTCGCTCATCAGTTGAAACTTATTTTTTTCCTGCCATTTGTTCCTATTTTCTTCCGCTGCTTTGCTTCTGCAGTCTCTAACCCAGTGTCCACTTTTTCCGCAATAAAAACCGGATATGTATCCTGTTCTTCCCATATTGTCCCTGATTTTACTTCTACATTCCGCTTCTATGTGTCTCTGTTCTCTACAATAATGACATTCCTTGTATTCTTCCATAAATGCTACCCTATGACTGTTACTTCTTTTTCCTGATACAAATAACATTGTTGTTTCCTGTAGTGAAACTATTTCTTCTGCTTTCTGCAGGTCCAAATCCTCTTCATTTAGTAGACGAACTCCTGTTTCCTTTAGTAGATCCTTCCTTAAGCCCATTTTAAATTGGTTTGGTAGTAGATCCTTGTTTTTTTTTTCTTTATTCCAGCCACTTCGTTTGGTAGTGCCCCATTTACATCGTCTTCCAGCGCCTGGTTCCCTAATAATCTCAATCTTGTGCAGAAACTGGAGACGTCTGCGTCGTGTCGTTGGTAACAGTTGCTTAGCTTCAGCAAACTATCTCCTGGTAACCTTTTTGCTGAAAATTTACTAATTAATCTTGCATTTAAATCCTTAAAATCTAATAAATCTAAATTTGAAAAAATCGTATGCTGCTTTTGTAAATTTAAATTTAAGTAATTTTAATTTATCTATTTCTGTCCAGCTGTCTAGTTTTGCCCTCTGTTCAAGTTTTTCGAGATATTTTCCTACATCTCTCCCTGTAAAATCTGCTAACGTTGTCGCTATCACCCCCCAATTATTAATTACGAGATACAAATGAGACACAAATATTGACGGAATTAAATTGTTGCGTGTAACAATTTTAATTTAAATGGATACCAAAAAATATTAGAAGCAATAAAAATGTTTTCCATTTAGATCTAATTAGTAACCATTTGAAAAATCGTGCTTTACAGTTTGAACAGCACACTTTAAAACCGTACGCCTCCTATTCGTTTACAAGTGTGTGATCGATACTGTACTTTATCACGAAACGAACAATAAATATTCAATATTTTTTTTCAATTTCATGGCATGACAAATGAACATTAAACGCACATACTTTGATTTTCTTTTACTAAACGACTTTATTTTAAAGAAACAAAATAGTCTTTGATGTGTTGTTGGAATTTAAAGTTTGAGTAAACAATGAACATTGCAAAATGGTTCTACCGAACTGTTGGACGTGTAATATTGTCCTTTCACTTGTTAACCTATAGGCAGAAATAGAAGATATATTATTTGATTGAACACTGTACTTTTCCATCAATTAAAGTTTTTAGCGAGTCTACATTTTGTTCAATTATTAGTCATAGCATTGGATGATCCATCCAAATTAAACATGAAGAATATTTAAATATTGACATATTTTGTTCTGATTTGTTTGTTTGTTTGTTTGTTTGTTTGTTTGTTTGTTTGTTTGTTTGTTTGTTTGTTTGTTTGTTTGTTTGTTTGTTTGTTTGTTTGTTTGTTTGTTTGTTTGTTTGTTTGTTTGTTTGTTTGTTTGTTTGTTTGTTTGTTTGTTTGTTTGTTTGTTTGTTTGTTTGTTTGTTTGTTTGTTTGTTTGTTTGTTTGTTTGTTTGTTTGTTTGTTTGTTTGTTTGTTTGTTTGTTTGTTTGTTTGTTTGTTTGTTTGTTTGTTTGTTTGTTTGTTTGTTTGTTTGTTTGTTTGTTTGTTTGTTTGTTTGTTTGTTTGTTTGTTTGTTTGTTTGTTTGTTTGTTTGTTTGTTTGTTTGTTTGTTTGTTTGTTTGTTTGTTTGTTTGTTTGTTTGTTTGTTTGTTTGTTTGTTTGTTTGTTTGTTTGTTTGTTTGTTTGTTTGTTTGTTTGTTTGTTTGTTTGTTTGTTTGTTTGTTTGTTTGTTTGTTTGTTTGTTTGTTTGTTTGTTTGTTTGTTTGTTTGTTTGTTTGTTTGTTTGTTTGTTTGTTTGTTTGTTTGTTTGTTTGTTTGTTTGTTTGTTTGTTTGTTTGTTTGTTTGTTTGTTTGTTTGTTTGTTTGTTTGTTTGTTTGTTTGTTTGTTTGTTTGTTTGTTTGTTTGTTTGTTTGTTTGTTTGTTTGTTTGTTTGTTTGTTTGTTTGTTTGTTTGTTTGTTTGTTTGTTTGTTTGTTTGTTTGTTTGTTTGTTTGTTTGTTTGTTTGTTTGTTTGTTTGTTTGTTTGTTTGTTTGTTTGTTTGTTTGTTTGTTTGTTTGTTTGTTTGTTTGTTTGTTTGTTTGTTTGTTTGTTTGTTTGTTTGTTTGTTTGTTTGTTTGTTTGTTTGTTTGTTTGTTTGTTTGTTTGTTTGTTTGTTTGTTTGTTTGTTTGTTTGTTTGTTTGTTTGTTTGTTTGTTTGTTTGTTTGTTTGTTTGTTTGTTTGTTTGTTTGTTTGTTTGTTTGTTTGTTTGTTTGTTTGTTTGTTTGTTTGTTTGTTTGTTTGTTTGTTTGTTTGTTTGTTTGTTTGTTTGTTTGTTTGTTTGTTTGTTTGTTTGTTTGTTTGTTTGTTTGTTTGTTTGTTTGTTTGTTTGTTTGTTTGTTTGTTTGTTTGTTTGTTTGTTTGTTTGTTTGTTTGTTTGTTTGTTTGTTTGTTTGTTTGTTTGTTTGTTTGTTTGTTTGTTTGTTTGTTTGTTTGTTTGTTTGTTTGTTTGTTTGTTTGTTTGTTTGTTTGTTTGTTTGTTTGTTTGTTTGTTTGTTTGTTTGTTTGTTTGTTTGTTTGTTTGTTTGTTTGTTTGTTTGTTTGTTTGTTTGTTTGTTTGTTTGTTTGTTTGTTTGTTTGTTTGTTTGTTTGTTTGTTTGTTTGTTTGTTTGTTTGTTTGTTTGTTTGTTTGTTTGTTTGTTTGTTTGTTTGTTTGTTTGTTTGTTTGTTTGTTTGTTTGTTTGTTTGTTTGTTTGTTTGTTTGTTTGTTTGTTTGTTTGTTTGTTTGTTTGTTTGTTTGTTTGTTTGTTTGTTTGTTTGTTTGTTTGTTTGTTTGTTTGTTTGTTTGTTTGTTTGTTTGTTTGTTTGTTTGTTTGTTTGTTTGTTTGTTTGTTTGTTTGTTTGTTTGTTTGTTTGTTTGTTTGTTTGTTTGTTTGTTTGTTTGTTTGTTTGTTTGTTTGTTTGTTTGTTTGTTTGTTTGTTTGTTTGTTTGTTTGTTTGTTTGTTTGTTTGTTTGTTTGTTTGTTTGTTTGTTTGTTTGTTTGTTTGTTTGTTTGTTTGTTTGTTTGTTTGTTTGTTTGTTTGTTTGTTTGTTTGTTTGTTTGTTTGTTTGTTTGTTTGTTTGTTTGTTTGTTTGTTTGTTTGTTTGTTTGTTTGTTTGTTTGTTTGTTTGTTTGTTTGTTTGTTTGTTTGTTTGTTTGTTTGTTTGTTTGTTTGTTTGTTTGTTTGTTTGTTTGTTTGTTTGTTTGTTTGTTTGTTTGTTTGTTTGTTTGTTTGTTTGTTTGTTTGTTTGTTTGTTTGTTTGTTTGTTTGTTTGTTTGTTTGTTTGTTTGTTTGTTTGTTTGTTTGTTTGTTTGTTTGTTTGTTTGTTTGTTTGTTTGTTTGTTTGTTTGTTTGTTTGTTTGTTTGTTTGTTTGTTTGTTTGTTTGTTTGTTTGTTTGTTTGTTTGTTTGTTTGTTTGTTTGTTTGTTTGTTTGTTTGTTTGTTTGTTTGTTTGTTTGTTTGTTTGTTTGTTTGTTTGTTTGTTTGTTTGTTTGTTTGTTTGTTTGTTTGTTTGTTTGTTTGTTTGTTTGTTTGTTTGTTTGTTTGTTTGTTTGTTTGTTTGTTTGTTTGTTTGTTTGTTTGTTTGTTTGTTTGTTTGTTTGTTTGTTTGTTTGTTTGTTTGTTTGTTTGTTTGTTTGTTTGTTTGTTTGTTTGTTTGTTTGTTTGTTTGTTTGTTTGTTTGTTTGTTTGTTTGTTTGTTTGTTTGTTTGTTTGTTTGTTTGTTTGTTTGTTTGTTTGTTTGTTTGTTTGTTTGTTTGTTTGTTTGTTTGTTTGTTTGTTTGTTTGTTTGTTTGTTTGTTTGTTTGTTTGTTTGTTTGTTTGTTTGTTTGTTTGTTTGTTTGTTTGTTTGTTTGTTTGTTTGTTTGTTTGTTTGTTTGTTTGTTTGTTTGTTTGTTTGTTTGTTTGTTTGTTTGTTTGTTTGTTTGTTTGTTTGTTTGTTTGTTTGTTTGTTTGTTTGTTTGTTTGTTTGTTTGTTTGTTTGTTTGTTTGTTTGTTTGTTTGTTTGTTTGTTTGTTTGTTTGTTTGTTTGTTTGTTTGTTTGTTTGTTTGTTTGTTTGTTTGTTTGTTTGTTTGTTTGTTTGTTTGTTTGTTTGTTTGTTTGTTTGTTTGTTTGTTTGTTTGTTTGTTTGTTTGTTTGTTTGTTTGTTTGTTTGTTTGTTTGTTTGTTTGTTTGTTTGTTTGTTTGTTTGTTTGTTTGTTTGTTTGTTTGTTTGTTTGTTTGTTTGTTTGTTTGTTTGTTTGTTTGTTTGTTTGTTTGTTTGTTTGTTTGTTTGTTTGTTTGTTTGTTTGTTTGTTTGTTTGTTTGTTTGTTTGTTTGTTTGTTTGTTTGTTTGTTTGTTTGTTTGTTTGTTTGTTTGTTTGTTTGTTTGTTTGTTTGTTTGTTTGTTTGTTTGTTTGTTTGTTTGTTTGTTTGTTTGTTTGTTTGTTTGTTTGTTTGTTTGTTTGTTTGTTTGTTTGTTTGTTTGTTTGTTTGTTTGTTTGTTTGTTTGTTTGTTTGTTTGTTTGTTTGTTTGTTTGTTTGTTTGTTTGTTTGTTTGTTTGTTTGTTTGTTTGTTTGTTTGTTTGTTTGTTTGTTTGTTTGTTTGTTTGTTTGTTTGTTTGTTTGTTTGTTTGTTTGTTTGTTTGTTTGTTTGTTTGTTTGTTTGTTTGTTTGTTTGTTTGTTTGTTTGTTTGTTTGTTTGTTTGTTTGTTTGTTTGTTTGTTTGTTTGTTTGTTTGTTTGTTTGTTTGTTTGTTTGTTTGTTTGTTTGTTTGTT